ACATCCAAAATGTATATCCATACAGGCATCTGAAGAACAGCTTTTGATTTCATTCTTCTAAGTAGTTTATGAATAGCTTTAAACAACATTCAATCACACCTTGGAAGCTATGACAAAGACCACTGCATTAATCAAATCAATGTTCAATTTATAAATACAGAGACAGAGCAGCAAAAATACTTTGTCACCTAAGATGCAATTAATTGAGAATTATGTATATGAAGAACTGTGTAGGTTGTTGTTCTATATCCATGTTTTCTGAATGAAGAAAATATTGTGATTAGTGACTCATGCATTGGCTGTCATGAGTGTTCATTTTACTTGTCTTTATAGCATGTGCACTGACTATTGCCATAGAGGAAAAGTATGTATATTTCATTTGCTATATGGGCAATCCAAGTAGTATATGCTTTAGCAGTCATAAAAAGGATCATTTTAAAAAAGTTATTCCATAAATGAAACCCTCAGAAACCATCTATCATCTACCACAACCTTAAAATGTTTACACCACGCACACCTAGAATGCATAGAGGCCACAAAAGGGAGATCACTATGGATCTATGGCAAAAGAATATGGAAAGAAAACTTCCAATTTAAAACCAAGCTGTCCAGTTCCATCCATGCTGTTGCAAAGGGTAGGAGCTCCTTCTTTCTTTCTGCTGCATAGAATTCCATTGTGTAAATGTACCATAGTTTTTGGATCCATTCATTTACTGATGGGAACTGGAAAGCATTATGCTGAATGAAATAAGCCAGGCGGTGAAAGACAAATACCACATGCTCTCACCTTTAACAGGAACCTAAACAACAAAACAAACAAGGAAGCAAAATATGACCAAAGACACTGAAATACAGAACAGGCTGACGGGGACCAGAGGGGAGAGAATTTCAGGGGGAACGGGGAAGGATTCACAGGAATAAGTATAAAGGACACATGGACAAAAACTAAGGTGGGGGGATGGGAGGGAGGTGGGGAGCACTTGGGGGGTGGGCTGGGATGGGAGTACAAGACAGAAGACTGTACTTGAACAATAATTAAATAAAATTTTTTAAAAAACAAGCTGTATCACTGTTGTAATTCTGACCAAAGGCCAATGTTGATTTTTGTTAAAAGTTAATGAAATTTATTAAGCTATATAACCTCTGTACTTACTATTCTTTTTCCATTAAATGTAAATTTACAGGGTATTACAATCTCAACAAATGCGTGCTGTATATTACTGTTATAATGGATCAAGACATGCATAAACAGTTCTGAACAGGCAGAAATCACTTCCCCCACACAAACAATTTCAGAGGTGCATTCCTGCTAAGTGTTTTCCATAAAAAGAAACAGTACAAAGATCTGATTTTTCATACTTTGACCTATAAAACATTAGTTCCAAATGTGCACCTCTTTGTGATCTCACTGGCCTTGAATGAATACCCATTCACCCCACATATTGACATTCACCTTTATACATATTATCCCTCCATTACACTAGCTCCTTTTTTGAACAATATCCGGGCAATTGTTCCACTCACAAGATTTACTCCTTCCCATACCTCTCACCTCATGTCAACATTTACCTCCAATTCCTCCTAGCTGTCAAGCATTACTGGGAGGATATATTTCTTGGTGTTTAAACACATGTTATTTGAATTCAGCTTGTATCAGATTCCAGCTCTGTGGCTTACTGCTTGTGTGACCTTGAAAAAGCTGTTTACATCTCTGAATCTGTATTTCCTTATCTTAAAAATGGAGATAATCACAGTGTCTAATTCATAGAACTACAAATTGTCAAGAAGAATGAGATAATATCTGGCAAATTTATGTGTCTCTATTATCATTATTATGGCTACTGTCAAAAAACTCCGTTGCAAAAATGAACATAGTTGCTTTCATTTCTAAGCTTTTCAGAAGCAACTGCTACTCCTCCATATGGAGGCAGAGTTGAGTACAAGTTTGAGAACTTTAAAAAAAAAAAAAAAAAAAATCAGGCCCTGGCTGGTGTAGCTCAGTGGATTGAGCACGGGCCTGCGAACCAGACAATCGAGGTTCGAGTCCCAGTCAGAGCACATACCAGGGTTGCAGGCCGGTTCCCTGCAGGCCAGTTCCCTGCAGGCCAGTTCCCAGCAGGGGACGCACAAAAGGCAACCATACATTGATGTTTCTCTCCCTCTCTCCTTCCCTTCCCCTCTAAAGATAAATAAATAAAATCTAAAAAAAAAAAATTAAAAAAAATCAGGCTATCAGGGAAAGGGCATCTTGAGAAAAGGAAAGAATAAATTGATATTGTCTTGCAATTCTAATAGATCCTACCCTCCCTGATAAAACCTCTAATATTGGTTATTCTTATGACAAGTAGTAGGAAGAGTCAGAAAACAGTCAGAGCTTGCCAATATGAAACCAAAAACTGTCTTTTAAAAATGTTCTTTAGAGAGCTACACTTAATCACTTAATAGGAGAATCTCAGTTTGTGCAATTGTTAAGTTCCCATTATATTTGCTGCCAAATTTCTAAATCCTGTTTTAAAAACATGTCATCAGTATTGAAGGAAAACCCTCAGTATTGTGCACAGAAGTGTTCCCACTTATGGTGTAAAGGGTCTCTTCCTGAAGTACGCTCATTTTATACTGTTTTAGTATTTTATAAAAGTACTGTTTATAAAAGTGCTGATTATAATAAAACAAGGATTTACGTCAGCAACATGCAAGAACTTTGCTAATAGGTTCGTCAGAAGGATTACTGCAACAACTGCGACAGACAAATTTCTAATCACCTGTAAGAAAATAAAGTTGAAACAAAACACCGGTGACATAAATATTTCTTATTTGCATAATCTTCAACAATGGAGTCTAAAAAATGAACATGATAGGAGAGGGCAGTCATTTGTAAGGCTCTTAGAAACTTAAGTCAAGAAACTGAGAGGTGCAGTTGTTCTTACATGAGTAGAAATTTGAAAGGAGTTTCTTCTTCAATATGCTTTTGGAGGAGGAGTGGGAGAGTGAGAAAGCAAAGAATAAACCACAATATCGAAACTGCCTATCACCAGAAGTGAAACTAATTTCCTGATCTGTTCAATCTGAACAAGGTAAACAAGGGTTTAACTAAGGGTGTTAAGCTGGTCTTTAAACTTTTACAATCATTGTATTGGACCCGAGACTCTGAACAACTCAAATATGACTCTGAAATATTGGAATTAATATATATGGAAAATAATAAGGCAAAAAGCTCAAAAACTGACGTTCAAAGGTAATTTTTAAAGTTTTCTTTTTTTTTTCAACCTAAACTTGCTAAAAAAGTATAAAGGTAAGTATTCTATTTCAAAGTTGTATGAACAACTCACACATGGTGGCTACAGAAGCCAAAGCTGAAGGTTCAATCAAGGTTCTTGGGTTTTCATACAACATTCAATTCCACTGCAAATCCTCTTAGCAGGTAATTAAACAAAGCAAAAACAAAAACACGGGAAAGGTGCTGCTCTAAAGTCCAGAAGAGGAAGGGGGGTTCCTACATCCTACATCTGATCCCACGCATGTGCTCTTTACATTGCTGACTTTTCTCCTGACTTGTGGAAAACAGAGACACTTTCATCATGGATATACATACACTCAGCTTTCACCCAAGTTTACCCTTTTGTTAGTCATAGCTGCTGAAAAAAAACCTATGTACTCTAGTGTTCACAGCAGCACAATTTACAATAGCCAAGGGCTAGAAGCATCCTAAGTGCCCATCAGTAAATGAGTGGATCAAAAACTAGGGTACATCTACACAATGGAATACTATGCAGCAGAAAGAAAGAAAGAGCTCCTACCCTTTGCAACAGCATGAATAGAATTGGAGAGCATTATGCTAAATGAAATAAGCCAGGCAGTAAAAGAGAAACACCATGTGATTTCACCTTTAACTAGAACATAATCAACAAAACAAACCAGAGAGCAAAATACAACCAGAGACACGGAAATAACAGCAAACTGACAGTAACCAGAAGGGTGGGGAGGACATAATGAGGGGAAATGGGGGATGGGCCATCAAGGAACACATATAAAGGACACATGGACAAAGCCAAGGGGGGGTAGGATCAAGGGTGGGAGGTGGGATGGTTGGGGTGGGGGGCAGTGGTGGGAGGCAGATGGAGACAACTGTACTTGGACAACAGTAAAAAAAGTTAAAAATATGTTATAAATTAAGAGCATGTGAATTTGGGGGTATGTGCCATAATTTGAAGAAGTAGCAACTTCAGTCTGCTACCACCCAGGAAGCCACTCCTTAGTTTCCTTTTCATTCATTTTTCTCAATGTATTTGAAGCAATTAGGAACTGCTCGAAGTAAAAACTTTTGAAAGAAAAGCAGAGGTCAAAATAAGGTACAATATGGGAGGGGGAAAGAGCCTTTATCGTTATTTTTTTAAAAAAAACCCAACAGCTTTGCACTATTGTTCCCAACCCCCCCCCCACACACACACTATTGTGTCTAGCTCTGACAGACTTTTTGGCGGAAGTTAAACACCCTCTCCTACATACAAGTAAAATAACTGTTTTATTACAGGAGTATTACTTTCTGAAAGTAATCACAATACCGTAGTAGGCCTCCATTCAGTTGTTATCAATTAGAGTGTAATTTACATCGTTTACAGATATGCACTTCTGCCCCTCACCTCAGTAACTAGAGCACATATGTCAAATGACCCACTCTTAAACATCACCAGTGTGTGACTTTACCTCACTTCTTCACCTAACTTTAAAGACTCTATACCATCATGTCTCATCTACCAAAACTCTGTAGGGTTCTTTTTCCTTCAAAGAAGAAACTTGGCCCCAACGTCACAAGACAAGGAAAGCTAAACTCCATGGAAAAATAAAATCGACACAACAAAGGGAAGAAAGAGAAGGGGGTGGGGTCGGAGTGTCTTCCGAAAGAGAAGCTACCACATGAACTTCTGCAATTTAACGGTTCTGGGGCAGCAAAAGCCTGGTGTGTTAGAAAGCAACAAAGACGGGCTCCCCGCCCTCCTTACCGCGGTAGAGCCAGAGGAAGATGCAATATACACACGGATCACCATCCTGGGAACAGCGGCTGCGGTAGTTTGGGTCCTGCAAATGGCTGGAGAGCTGGGGCAGCAAAGGCTGTAATTGAGCTAACAGGCGAACAGAGGTTGGAAGAGAAGGGTGGGGGAATGTGGAAGGGGAATTCACAAGAGCCCCGCCTCCTCCCTTGGCTGCTCTCACTGGGCTGGGAGCTCTGCAGTCCCAGCCCCAAATCCCGGAAGGCAAAGGCTTGTTTGCATCATTTCTAATTTTTTCTAAAGGAATCTCGAATAGCACCGCGAGATCTGTTGACATTTTTTTCACTATTCCCTCCAAGAGAACAGGGATAAAAGAAAGAAACAGAAAAGGGAGGGTTTAATTCAATTAGATTAGAATGAAAGAGCTTTTCCCACGGAGACTAAAACTTCTGCTTACAACTTCCGGCTCAGAAATGTACGCAAATGAGGAGACAGATATTCCTTGAATCCACGCACTATTAAGAAAGCCCTAGCTGTTAAAACCTTGTGCATTTGAAGAATCCTGTTTATTAGGGTTGGGCACTGAAGGGCTGAGCAATGCCACAGAAGGTTATAAAAAGTTTCAGGTTTTCCTAAGCCAAAAATGGCAGGATTTGATTTCTTTGGAGCTTTGCTTTTTTTTAAGATTAGGAATCCTGCTTCTGTGTGAATACGCAGGAAGACTGACTCACAAATTCAAGAATGGAGGAAGAAGTTGAAAACCAGGGAAAAAAAGAAAGAAAAGAAAATGCAGTGTAAGAAAGTAAATAATTTTTAATTTTGTATTGCATTGTTTCGTTATTAATTGATCAAGGAAATGGAGTTTGAATCCTATGTTGCAGGAGATGTTGAAATGGTAAGCAGAAAGAAACCAAATGGTCATTTGTCCACAGAGGGACCATATATGTCAGACTGTGATTTCAAATTTCCAAATTATGTCAAATAAACAGAATTAAGGAACTCACAGATTGAGTGGATAGAGGGAGTCAGTTACCTGTCCTACTTCTTTACTTTTCCTTTCCACTGGATTTCCCTCTACATTCCAATGGTTTTATCACCCTTTTCTATGTTCAATAATCGTAGCTTCCTAACTATTTTCCGTTAACAGGTTCTCCCTTCTCCATAGAACAACCTTGAGCAGTCGATATTATTATATCAGTTTTACAGAAGAAACTGGGACTCAGGGAATAAGTAATTTTTCCCAAAGTCATATAGCAAGTAAATTTTAGAGCCAGGACTACACCTCAAATCCAACCAGCTCCAAAGGTGCCCCTCTTGACCATAATTGTAACACAATGCCTGGACCAGGGAAAGTACTCAATAATTGTTAATATTTTCCCTCAAACATCACTTTTATTTGTCACTAAAGACAATACAGCCTGAAATACTTAAAATACTACTCCATTGACTATCAAAGCAAGCCTTAATTATGTTTCTAAGGAGCTCCCACCATAATCTGGCCCCACACTATTTATATAGTCTTCACTATTCCCCTACTTCCCTGCATAATTATTGTTTATTCCCCACTGTAATCCTAGTACTTATTCATTTTCATGCCTTTGCTCTTCCTATCCTTTTATTCATTTTTTCCCATATTCTTTTCTGTTCTCTCCATCTTCCCAACTCTTACCTTTTCTAGACCAATTTAGAATTGTTACACAAATGCCCCAGGGGGAAAATCTAGCCACCCTCATCATTAGTCACCAGGGTGATTGTTATTATGCTTCCTAGGCCACAGGACAGGGTAATCTTCCTTCAGGTTTTGATTTGGGAAAATTGACATAATTTGCCATATACTAGTCCCACCACTTTGTGGTCAGCATGTATTCTATTTGGACCAATAGTCTTTACTGAATTGATGAAAACAATAAAGGGAAAAAAGAAAAACTCTTCTATTTATTTTACATATCCATATGACAAAATTAATATCTCCAGAAAACTGAATTCCAGTATTAGCAATTAGTCCAGTGGGCCTTATCTGAAACTTTGATGATGGGCAGATGTTCTCTGATACTTAATTTCTCTTAAATACACAGGTATTAATCTAAGTGAAAATATCCCAACTAAATTGATATATAAACAAAATCTGTTGATCCTTATTAACAAGAACAGTTAGGATGCATTTGGGGGAAGGGCTTTACCAGGATTTTTTCCTAGAGATTAATATAATACATTATATTAGACCTGCTCCTGAGTATATTCAACCATCCCTGGAATGTACATTATAGAATGGTAATTTTTGCTTCATTTTATTCCTTTATAAAACTGTCTCCAAGCAATTTGTTCATATAATTTGATTAAAAATGTTAAAGCCTGATTAAACTAAGATGGATCAAAGAGTTTTTGAATAGTATTTGTGACCTATTGTGATAAGAAATCTAATTATTTCTCAAGTAAATGGTAACATATTTCAAAAATTATAAAGTAAATGCATGCCAAGAACAGAAAACTTAACAAATACTGCAAATAAAAAAATCCCTACCCCTAATATTTGGGGATAATCACTTTTTGATATGTGGATATAAGCTCTTCCAGGCCTAGTCATAAGTAGATAGATGAGGGTGGGTATGAGGGTTTGAGAGAAGTGGAAGGAAAGGAAGAGAGAATAAATATATTTTTAAAATCTATTTATGATAAGATACATAGTGTTTTGTAAATGGCTCATCTTTACTTAGAAAAGATATTTAAAAAATTATGCCCTGGCTGGTGTGGCTCAGTGGATTGAGCGTGGGCCTGGGAACCAAAGGGTCACGGGTTTGATTCCCAGTCAGGGCACATGCCTGGGTTGCAGGCCAGGTACCCAGTAAAGGGTGCTCAAGAGGCAACCACACATTGATGTTTCTGTCCCTCTCTCCCTTCCTTTTCCTCTCTTTAAAAATAAATAAATAAAATCTTTTTTAAAAAGAATATTTAAAAGTAAATAAATATCCCATTTCGGGAAATATGATTTTACAAAATGATATTTCATGGCTTCACGGGGTCCCATTTTATAGATGTACCAAACGTCATTTAAGCAATTCTGTATTATTAAACATATTGCTAGTGTTCAGTTACTCTATATTGTAGTTAATGCTGCAGTACATAGTTATCGACAAATTTTTGCCCACCTGTCTAATAATTTCTTCAGAGTAAATTCCTACATGTGGAATTGCTGGCGAACTCTATAGGCATTCGGGCTTAGTATTACAATGTTATAATTTGGGCCCTGTGTTGCCATGATCTTAAGTGCAAATGACTATTAATTTTATTGAAGAAGCAGCCAATGCTACCCCTGTAACAAGAATTTTATCCCCCTTCCTTCCTCATCGATTGTCTTGATATAAATCCCTGTTATGTGGCACTTTTCTAATACTATGTGGCACTTTTCTAAGGTGGCAGGTAAATTTTTATAAATACTTCTCTGCCTCATATTCCTTTTGATGCATCAGGAACTCGTAGTGCTATTGGTGTCAGATTGAGTACAGCACTACCCAAAATATACATTTTAGTTCCCTGCCCTACATTTTTGGGCCCACTGTTGAGCTAGAGGGAGGTTATAGTACAGTTTTAGTGAGCTGTACATACAGTGGTAGATTTTGGGTGTGAGGCATGTTCATAGATGAACAAAAAGAATAAGAAGGAAGCTAAACAACAAAACAAACAAGCAAGCAGAAAAAAAAAAAAACAAAGACACTGAAATAGAGAACAAGGGGACAGTGACCAGAGGGGAGAAGGAAGGGAAGTTAAGGGGAAAAAGGGGGAGGGATTTGGAGGAACAAATAGGAAGGACACAGGGACGAGAACTAAGGGGGGTGGAAATGGGAGGGAGGTGGGGAGCAAGGAGCAGGGGAGGCTGGGATGGGAGAAATAGACAAAAAACTGTACTTGAAAAATAACTAAATAAAATTAAAAAATAAGAAATATATTATAAAAAAAGAATAAGAAGGAGACAGAACTGAGGATATCTGTTCACACTGGAAGGGTCCATCAGAACTTTAATAATATGGGTCACACCTATGGCATAGGACAACTACAAGAAGGCATCTTCCATTCAAAAATTCTACCTCAAACTTCAGTGTCCATGTTTCACTCTTCCCCAAACATGTTCTCTGCACTCACTGGATGTTTGATTTTGTGCTGAGAAAACACTCCTATATCTACAGTCTCTTCTCTGAATGTTATTTTTTCCCCCTTGCCTTAACTCATATTTTTTTCTTTAAGGCAGCATTTCCCCTTCAAGTGGAGACTGCTTGTGCTCTCATACGGCACTCAAAGTTAGGAGTCTCCAGGTGAGTTATCTGTATTCCCCATGCCAAAACAGAAGGTCTGACTACGGCAAAAGCGCCTTTAGGTCATGACTGAGCTCTTTGGAGTTGAAGTATATCCACTTTTCTGAACCTGGTAATTCCTTACTTTCTCATCCAAGTCTTTGATGTTTTTAGGAAAATTTTGTCATTGTCTTCTAAATTTTTAAATTTCCTTTATGAAAGGGTTTTTCCAGATCATGTAGTCCACCATGGCCAGAAGAAAAAAATTTTCTATTTTTAAATTTCTTAGAAAGTAAAAATACTGTTTACCGCACATTATAAAAACAAGCCTACAAATACACAGTTAAGAAACATTTAATGAAATGTCTACAAAACATCACCATGTCAACTTGTTTAAATATTACATTCAGTATTCATAAAATTTTCATCTCACTTGAAAACAATTGGGAATTTAGATTTTTTTCCTGCATTGGCAGAATTCCAGAATATATATAATGGTTGCCAAAAAAATCGCTGTCAAGCATAATTTAATAAATTGCTTGGTGCTACATAATTTTAAATTTAAAAACAAAATTATGACATTTTAATACTTTTTATTTAATATTGATGTTTATTTACTTATTTTCATTTTTTAAAATTTATTTAATTATTGTTCAAGTACAGTTTTCTGTTTTTTACTCCCATCCCAGCCCACCCCCCCCAGTGCTCCCCACCTCCCTCCCATTTCCACCCCCCTTAGTTGTTGTCCATGTGCCCTTTATACTAGTTCCTATAAATCCTTCCCCTTTTCCCCCTGAAATTTCCTCCCCTCCCCCCTCTGGTAACTGTCCCCCTGTTCCCTATATTTTCATTTTTTATTGATTTTATTGAAGTGACATTGGTTCACCCTAATAAAACAGGCTTCAACTGTACAACTCAACAAAACAACTATACCCTGCAACATGCACCCAT